AGCTAATTGAAAATATTGTATTTTTTCTCAAAAATTATCATCTTAACCTATTTAAATTGAGTAGGTATTATGATTTATAATAATAGGCATTCATAAATAATTTGATTAATAATTATTCTTGAAATCTTTATTTGTCTCCTTTGAACTTTTAGAATTTTGAGATGCTCCTTTGATATGTAAATAATCATTAAAATACATGTCAAATATAATTAGAGAGCTCCCTAGACTGATTGAGGCACTAATTTTAAGTAGGGTATAAATAAAAAATTATTTAAGAGGATGGGTACCCTTTTTAACTTCATTCATCATTTTTTGGAATCCTATACTATTGCACCAAAGAGAGTAATTAGTTGTAAGTCTTTTTAAGAAGGTTTACATTTACGCCAGTTAATTTCATATTTCCACTAGCGATTTTGAGTGTGATTATTAGTTTTATTGATTAAATTGCATTAAAATTCCTTATTATTATTAAGGTATGTGTTAATTAAGAACAATGGGGATTAATTATTTTAGGCCTTCAGAATATTTACTTATGGTGAAAAATTATTAATTAATGGAAATTTTAGTAAGGAAAATTTATAATCTAAAATTTCCACATCTATTGACATCATAATCAATTTGCAGGATTAAGATCTAGCATTCGAACAATTATATATTTTATCTGTTTGTTGCAATTTAATGAATTTTTTAGATTAATTACATTACAATCTTATCTATGAGCCATAGTATTTTTCATACTTAGTCTTAATTTATCTCTTAAATCAAAGTTTATCCAGAAAGTATCTCATAAATAAACCACCTAAGGGCCGTATATCAATAGTTTATGTATAATTATTTTCTTTAGTAATAAGTTAATTAGCTAATATAACACAGTTCCAAATTAGTAGTTTTCGATCTAAATTGAGCAGTGACCAAGCCATAATCAATTAATTTACATTCATTCCCAAATAAAATGTAATTTCAGGAAATATCGCTATGTATCAGTTAATTATTGAGTAAAAATGCAATAGCTTTGGTAATCTATTTTAATTAGAAATAAAAGTTACTTATTTTATAACCTATACTAATTATAAAATAGGGAGCTATAATTTCTATGAAATAAATTTGTAAAGGTTTATGTGCCTAATTCCATAACTAAAATCTAAAATTCATGATATTGAAAGAAGTTAAATCTTCTCACTATCTATGAAGGATTATAACTTTATATATTCTGCTTATTATTTTCATATTGAATTAAGCACTTTAAGAATTGAATAATAATAATAATATTTGATGTATGATTATGTGGCATTGCCGGCGGCCCCTCTTGATGTGCATGAGGCCGCCACTCATAAGGCAGGAGTTTTTGAATATTAATAGCTTGTCCCATGTTTCAATACAGAACGAGCAGATCATCTTCTCGTCCATGGATAGCCTCTCTAGGCCCTAACTTCTAAGTATCTTGTTCATTCTCAATACAATTTTCTTAAGTTCTCCCTTAAAGTTATTTTAGAAGGCTTTAAAATATTTCTGTCTTACCCCTCTTACCTTTTGGATTATCTCCACTAACAGGTATTCATCTTTGGTCCTTTAGTCAGCGTAAATGATCATATCTGATCCTACATAGATGGCGTCCAAGAAAACCACTAGGCCTTGTGTTATCATGTTAATTGTGTTTCCTGAGTCAAGTTCAAATTTGAATTCCTCTATAAGTTATTTTCTAATCTCGTTGAATTCGAATTCTCTATCCTTCTCGTACTGTTCCCATGTTCTCCTTGTTGGTGAGGCAAGGTACTCATAATTAAGCTTCAGAGTTGGGTTTGGGTTTGGGGTTTGGGTTTGGGTTTGGGTTTGGGTTTTGGGTTTGGGTTTGGGTTTGGGTTTGGTTTCTGGGTTTTGGGGTTGGGGTTGGGATAGGGGTTGGGGTTGGGGTTGGGGTTGGGGTTGGGGTTGGATATGGGGGCTATGACAATA